TCTTCTGGTCCGGTCATTATAGAGGATTAAAATTCGAAGGACAAATCAATGGCGAATTGAAAACCATCACTTTTGATACGGGTGCTGAAGTTTCCATAATTAGAAGAACATTAATCAAGTCTCGGGCAATCCAACCGCTCACTAGAAACCTGTCACTACGAACAGTCACCGGAGAATCTGCACCAGTTCAAGGAGAAGCTATGGTTGAGCTCACTTTTGGATCTACCATCTTCAGGCACAGAACATTAGTCGCCGATATAGAAGACGATTTTATTTTGGGAATGAATTTGATCGGCCAACATGGTTTCTCCTTTGATCCTTCCATGAACATCCTTAAATTTGGTAATGAAGAAATTGTCCTAACAACACAAGAAGAATCCGAAGCCGTTAAGATCTTGGCCACAACCCCAGTGAGGATTCCTGGAAGTACTGAGAAGATCATTTGCGGAAGATTAGAAACCAACCCTGGGTGCTGCGTTGGACTAACACGTAATTTCATTGGAGATAAACCAGAAAGGTTTCTTGTTGGAAGGACTCTAGTAAGAACAAATGGAGACATTATGATAAGAATTGCCAATGTTTCTTCCGAAACAGTAAGAATAAAAGAAGGAGACATTATTGGAGCTCTCGAACCAGTGAAGCAAATATCGAACTGTGACCTACCACATAAGCGGCACTTTGTGAAATCCAAATTGGATACAGACACCTTGATGCAGACTTTGGCGAAATCATGGAAACATCTTGATCCAGATAGACTTCAAGAAGCCACAGATTTCATTTTGAAAGAAGCAGACGTATTTGTGATGGACAATCAAACCGGTCGAACCAGTTTAATTCAACACAAAATTGATACTGGATTGGGACACCCAATTAGATAACCACCACGACGTATGCTAGTAGTTAAGCAACAGGAAGTGGAAAACCAAATTGATAAAATGCTTCAAGAGGGAGTCATTGAAGAGTCAAATAGTCCATGGTCCGCGCCAGTAGTACTGGTTACGAAGAAAGATGGGACTCTTAGATTTTGTGTGGACTACCGAAAGCTTAATGACGTCACCAAGAAGGACAGCTTCCCTCTCCCAAGAATAGACGATACACTAACAACTCTATCGGGCTCTAAATGGTTTTCCACCTTGGATCTCAAAAGTGGATACTGGCAAGTGGCAATACATGACGATGACAAAGAGAAAACTGCCTTCAGTACCGGAAGCGGGCTATACCAGTTTAATGTAATGCCTTTCGAATTGTGTAATGCTCCAGCTACGTTTGAGCGACTGATGCATCTTGTTTTGCGAGGCCTTACATGGAGAACTTGCCTGGTATATTTGGATGATGTCATGATTATGGGAAATTCGTTCCAAGAACATCTCAATAACCTAAAAGAAGTTTTTGACCGCTTCCGGAATGCCAACTTGAAACTCAATCCAAATAAGTGTTTCTTATTTCAAAAGAAAGTGGAATTCTTAGGTCACGTGGTATCTGAAGAGGGCATACAAGTTATGGAAGGAAAAATAGATGCTGTCAGGGACTGGCCAAAACCGCGCGACAAACATGAACTAAGGAGTTTTCTAGGATTATGTTCTTATTATCGAAGATTTGTGGAAGGATTCGCCAATATAGCTGCTCCACTTCATCGATTAACAGAAGAAAAATCAACATTCAATTGGACCCAAGAATGCGATTCCGCATTTAGAAAATTGAAAGGAGCATTATGTACGAGCCCAGTGTTGTCCTATCCTGATCACAAAGGCATGTTGATTTTGGACACAGATGCAAGTAACACCAGTGTTGGAGTTGTCCTTTCACAAATCCAAAATTCACAAGAACATGTCGTGGAGTACTACAGCAGAACATTATCAAAGCCGGAACGAAATTATTGTGTCACCAGAAGAGAGTTGCTTGCCATAGTAAAAGCAGTCGACCATTTTCATAAGTATCTCTACGGACGCAAGTTTCTAATTCTAACAGATCACGCAGCTCTAAAATGGCTTTTAGAAATGAAAACTCCTGAAGGACAGCTTGCTAGATGGATTGAGAAATTGCAGCAATACGATTTCCAAGTTAAACATCGACCTGGAAACCTGCATAAAAATGCTGACGCTCTGTCTAGACGGCCATGTAAAGAAGATTGCAAGCATTGTCATAGAATCGATATACATGAGAAAAACACTAGTCCAGTTGTAAGAAGAACGGGCCTGATCATCGATGACAAATGGACTACCAAACAAATGAGAGAAGATCAGGAGGCAGACCAGGACATCGGACAAATTCTACATCTTGAAGAAAACGATGAATGTAGGCCGGAATGGAGGGAAGTGTCAAACAAGAGCTTGATTTACAAAGCGTTGTGGGCCCAATGGAACTCTCTGGCCGTAGAAAATGGTTTGCTCAAAAGACTTTGGGAAAGTGCCGATGGGAAATTCACTAAGAGCCAACTGGTTATCCCAAAAGACCGAGTGGAAGATGTATTAAAAGAAATACATGACGGAACTTCAGGGGCACATTTCGGAGTTAACAAGACTTTGGACAAAATTCGGGAGCGTTTTTACTGGGTTCACTACCATGAAGACGTTAAAAGCTGGTGCCGAAAATGCGACATCTGTGCTACCAGTAAAGGCCCCAAACTAAGATCTCGGGGGCCCATGAAACAGTACAACGTCGGTCTTCCATTTGAAAGAATAGCGATAGATGTAGCCGGACCGTTCCCAGAGTCAGAGCGTGGTAACAAATACATCTTAGTTATCATGGATTACTTCAGTAAATGGCCAGAAGTTTTCGCTATTCCCAATCAAGAAGCCATCACTGTTGCCCAGGTGCTAGTGGACGAAGTTTTTAGTCGTCATGGTGTGCCACTAGAGTTACATTCAGACCAGGGACGAAACTTCGAATCTGCCATCTTTAAGAAAATTTGTGAGATCATGGGAATCCGTAAGACCAGGACAACACCTTTACATCCACAGTCTGATGGCATGGTGGAACGATTCAATAAGACCATAGAGGAACACCTGACAAAAGTGGTCGCAAAGAACCAACGAGATTGGGACAAGCATTTGCCTCTCTTTTTAATGGCTTACAGAGCGGCTGTTCACGATTCAGGTGAAAGTCCGGCTAGAATTGTTTTTGGAAGGGAACTCAGGTTACCTTGCGATCTGATGTTTGGAGTACCCGAAGAAGAACGAAGAGAAATCCGAGATTATGCCGACAAAGTAAGGGCACGACTTCTGGGTATCCATGATTTTGCTCGGGAGCATATTCAACTAGCCAGTGACCGAATGAAGACCAGATACGACTTGAAGGCCAATTCGGTCGGATTTCAAGAGGTGATTTAGTGTGGTTGTATAACCCAGTAAGGAAGAAAGGAGTATCACCGAAATTGTCTTCAGCATGGGAAGGACCCTACAAAATAATCAAGAGTGTTGTAATCAGTTCTGATAAGTGATAAAGTAAATCATATAAAGTCAATTTGTTCAATAAAATTTGTTACTGTTAGTAAAATGAGTTTTAGTGGACCCAGAATCCATATAGGTGGCTTGTAGTAGAAATAGGATCACACAAGCATAACAAAGAGGTTGTCATTTCCTGAAGATGAATATCGGCCTAGTTAAAATTAGCTCAATCCAAAAAGAACGTATCGGTGATCTCCAATTTAACGACTTTTCCCCCTTATTTATTTTCTGCGACTAATGGCTTCAAAAATAGATTTTTTTTTATGATGAGTGGCTCGAAAGTGAGCTCTCGCAACTAAAATGAAATTATTTTTAATTGGTCTATTAAATTTAAAAGAGAAAAATATTGGTAAGTTTTTGTTCGTGGATTATAAACAAACGACTATGGCTCAGCTAAAGCTTAATCAGTTTGGAAATTAGGATACACCATGAATTAAATAAACAGCAAAATAAATTGCTAGGGATCAAAATTGAAACTGATAAAAACCTCTTTTACGTTATTTTTTTGTTTAATTAGGTAGGTTTCTTATATTCATATGAATTTCAATGTTTTATAAACGACTAACGAGATGCCGAGTTCTTGCATCTTGCGACTCGTATCGCATACTTACAATGTATCTTTTTATAGAATATTGTAAATTTAACAATTTGTACAATTTTTCGTTACCTCCTACCTCGTATTTCTGGCAATGGAACTTTGCAAATGACAAACTACACGATTTTTTCAAATCATAAAATTCGTGAACTTTCCTTTTATGATCCGTTTGACTTGACATCCGGAACAATTTTATGTAAATTCTTTCCTCTTTGTAGTCTTTGTTTCCGGAAAACAGACAGACTGTAATAAACAAATCAAATCGAGCAAACTTCAAATAAACTTTTAAAGACGCATAAAACTCGGGTTACTGTTCAATGTAAAATATTTACGACGGGCCGTTTAAACAGGCGCCGAAAGGAAGGAAATAACTGTAATTGTTAATATTAGGATTGGACAGGTAGGTAATACGAGGACATTTTCTTTGTGATTCCTAATACAATTCTAATAAATATGAAGTTAAATGATACAGGATAAATAAATGTGAAGAAATAATAATAATTATAAATAAAATGTGGAGGTTTTTTCTTTGAATAGCAAATAAATTTAATGTAAATAAAATATAACATATGAAAAATTAAACACGATGGCAAATAGAAAAAATAAGACAGCAATTAAATAATAATAAAAGATAACAATGAACTGGAACTACATAAAACAAAATACAATTTGAGAAAGTACCTACTGAAAAAAAAGCACAAGGAATTGAGAAAAACATACACATGAGAAAATATTACAACGATGATATTGGATTTTCCCAATAGAATAATAGAATAATGTAGATGTAAAATATGAGATAAGAAGGTGCAAACAAAAACATTAGGTATTTTAGCTTATGCATTCTTTAACTAATACCCCATTGCCTAAAAAACACTGCTAGAACCCTACTTTTAGATTCGATAAAGACAATTAAATACCTGGATAAAATTTGTTGGTGAGTTTTAAATCTAAAATCTTACCTTTGAGACATGGGTCTAACTCGAACAACCACTTTCAAACGCATATCGAAGAGAAAATTACTCTTCAATGATACCAATATCGTTGAAAATACAATAAATAGTCCGTGATTATTATAAACTCTGAGGCTCTATAAGCAAATTAATGATAATATAAAAATGTTGTGAAAGACATCTAGGTAAACTCTGGCCGAAACTTTGTGTCTGATCACTGTACAAAAACAACTGACTGAAACAGACTGGTCCAGATGCTCGACGCCGTCTTTATGTTGATGCACGGCGACTTTTCTCTCTGCGATTCTAAATTTATCTTTCGTAAACTTGAAAGTTCTCCGGGACGCCCTCAACTTTTTGATGTATGGGTTCCTGTGCAACCCGAAAAATAGGGTGGAACAAAGATAGCCGAGATCGTTTTGTGTCTGAAGAGGTGATATATATATTTTTTTTCTAATATGGTAAATTTGATATACAAGAAGTAGTTGGCGCATGTATTTGGTCAATGATTATATTAGCAAACAAATTATATATTAAGTTATTAATTCCTAATCTTGCGTTGTTTTTTGTAAGTCATTTATATTTGTACTATGAAGCATATTCAAAAAAGGTGCTCATAGTAGATAAGGTTGTAAACGCGGTTGTAAATTAAATGTTGAGATCAATTAAGTATTACCTACCTTTTTTCTCGATAGGTTAAACGTTTGCCAGCTGCTCTATAAATTTAATATGAGTTCGTCGAGTTGAATTCAATAAAAAAAAGTAGAGGTGAATTTCAGAAACTTTTCCAGATTCTCAACAGTCCCTGCAAAGCAGGAAAATTTACGTATGGGCTTTTTTCGTATTAAGTTTACGGAGCATTTCAGCTACATTTGCAATATATTTCGAACATGAACAGGGCCGTATCTAGACCAAAATTTTGGGGGGGGTTAGACAAAGTGGCAAAAAAAAATTGTTACACTAGTAATAAAAATAAAAAAAATAAATAAGTATTTAATAAGCGTTGTTTCTTTTTAAGATAAATTTTTTGAATTTTATTATTTTTTGGGGGGGGGTTTGAATTGGATTATGAATTATGTTATCTTCAAACATTTTCTTTAATTGGGATGGGTATCTGGTATCTATATACGTTTTTGTGTGCACCTGTATTTTATCCGTTATTTTAATTTCATACCTATTCGTATTGCTTTGTCATTATCATTTCTTTCATAGGAAAGGACCCCGCACACTACTTATGGGATTTCTGACCGCGGTCAAATCTGTTGCTTGGTCGAAAAAAGGCCTATCTAACAAAATCAAGTTTTGAGATAATCGAGGATTTGTATGAAAACTTGAAATGCTTATTACTCCATTGTTACTTTTACGAATTTGATAAAATTTTGGTAGGGTCTACTAAAAAGCAGAATTATTCATATAATACATTTATTTTTTTTAAATCTTTTACTTTTAACATACTTTTGATAGTTAGGCTCCTGCATTTTTTTATCAATGTACATAAGCCCCAATTGTGATAGGTGACAAGTAGCACTTGGGACCTAAAAAGTGTTACTTAGGCCTTATTGTTAGTAAAAACGGTACTTAGGCCATTTTTAATTCACTTGAAACGTTTTTTCTTTTTTTTTCAAAGCTACTATTGATCGAAATTTGACTGAAAATTAAATTTGTTTCAATTTTTAAAGAAAAATGAAAAAAAAAATGAAAAAAGTTTTTAAAAAAAGGCAAATACTTCTATTATTCGTCATATTCAACTGAACCTGCTGCCTGCTGGAAGAACTTCATCTTCTTGGCCTTCATCGTTTAATGATTTTAAATTCATAAAAAAGTCGACTATTGGTATTGGGATGTATGTAACACAACAAACTTTTGATTCATCCAATTTCTTTTTGAGAAGGGGAAGGGGATATAAGTTGTAAAATTTTTCTAAAGTGGGTTATGCTTCTGGCTTCACCTGATTGCCGTTTTTTCTTTCTTGTCATATCCCACACTTCAAATTCTTCTTCTTTCAAAAGGCTTTGTTTGTAAATGGTTTTTATAGGATTATCCATATCTGAAATAGTTTGCGTTTAGAAACGCCTTCTGTTTTTTTTTTGCGATTTATGAAATGAGCTTTTTGAACAAGACATGTACAGAGGCGCCGACTTTTGAAAGTTCTCATGGGTGCAGAACTTTATAAATTTGTTTATGGGAGGGGGGAAAGCTCGTCGTAGGCGGCAAATTTTTCCTACGAGCGTGCGAGAAGTGCTTTTTTCTGCACGCAGCACTCATTTAGGCACTAGTGCGGAAAACTAAAATAATTATGCAATGTTAAGTCACTCTGGTTCTTTCGTGTCCTGAAATGCGTGCGGAAACGTACCTACTTCTCCGCACGGTCGTAGAAAAATAACGCTCCTTAATCATGCGGAATAGCTATTTACCTAAAAAGTGCGGAAAAATATTTTCCGCAAGTGTTAGGTACAATATTTTTCCTACAGGCGTAAAAATGTAAAATTTTTCTTTTTTTTTTGACATATCAGTGCGGTAAAATTTTTTCCGCACTGACAGCCGTGCGGAAAAACTTTTTCCGCACTGTTATGCGTGCGGTAAAAGTTTTACCGCACCGTGCGGGAAAACTCATTTTCCGCACGCATATCAGTGCGGAAAATCGATTTTTCAGCACCGCTGTAAAAAAATCTCTTTTCCTCATTTAGTTGCTACGCACACACCCTAATTGATGTTTTGTTTCATTTTAGCCGCCTCTGTCAACTGTCAGACTGTCACTGTCAACCAATGAAATATTGGCTATGTTCCGATATCAACTGCCATTACTGGATTTACTGTTATTTGCCATTTCGATTTCAACAGCGTACTCTTGTGGTCATTCGGAGTCAGAATCGACTAAATCCAGTGTACTGAAAATAATATCGTAACGGCACGTAGCAACAGGTCGTGCAAGTGGTGCCGCGCATAAGGGCCCGGGCCCCGAAGGGGCCCTACGTGTCCTGCCGCTTTTTGGACACAATATACAATACACAATATTCGCTTTGGCAATTTTAAACCGAAACAGAAAACTGTAATATCGATCTCTACAGATTTCTTTTCAGTCAGTACTCCGACTCCTAGTACTCGTACTACTCGTGTCAATATTGTCAATTGTCAATCTCAGTTGTGTATTAGCTCTCGAAAATGTCTATTTTACAGACCCATTTCAGTTCGAAATTTTCGGCCTAGTCCCTAAAAGTCGTTATAGCACTCAGAAAAAAAATTATCTGCTGCTCTTGCCACAACCATGCCAATGCGTAATCAGTTTCAAATTTTTAATGTCACATTTACTTCACATTTTTGTCAACAGAATTCAATCAATTTTTGGAGTTTTTTAGACTCATCAAAAATAGTATATTGCGTGATGAGGAGTCTGGAAAGTACTGTTTTTTTGGACGAGTAGACAAGATTCCAGTCTGCGAGTCGGAGAAAACACTTTCCGGGAGTATTACGTATAGGTACCTACTATGTTTTGGCCTTAAAGAACATACTTTCCAGACTAGGCCGGAAAGTATATAATCACTTCTTGGCCTAAGTAATTACATCCCGGCCTAGGCTTAAAAAGGCATGCTTTCTTAAGTAAAACGCGTTCGAAAAGTATGTACTTTCAGAACGGTCGCCGAAAAGCCTCATTTTAGGTACTTGTTACAAAAATAGCTATCGTCTGTTAACCTTCCAAAAATTTCTCGCCTACGAATTTGCCATGAGCCATTTTGCCCATACCCCCCCCCCCCCCCCAAACAGTCAATGAATTTGAAAATTTAAACTTTCCGATGCCCATGGTGAAGGGGGCCCGCTGTGCTCTAGTCTTGCACCAGGGCCCGGTTTTGACTTGCTACGTCCCTGCATAACGGCATCCAGTAAATTCAGTACTGACAGTTGATATCGGAACCTAGCCATTATTATAAAAGTTCCAATATATGGAAATAGTTATTTTCCTAATAAGTGCGGAAAGTATCATTTTTCCGCAAGTGTTAGGTTAGGAACACAATTTTTCCTACGAGCAGACAATAATAAACAAATATGAATCTATATTGAGCAATTAACAACATTTTTTATTGACAACTTCAATGGTGAATGTACAATTTTCAGCAGATTGTAAATTTATCGCTGATGCAAACTGACGATTAAGCACATGATGATGGTATTGACCTTCGGATTCCTCCCCAAAGTTTCTATTGTCTACTTTTAATGATTACTTCTAAGATAACGGGTCTTCACAAAAAATTAAACAAATCAAAGATTTCTATGGTTTTTAAAACGTATGTCCTAGAGCTGTTGTACTGAGTATTTCAAATACTTGAAGTAAATACTTAAGTACAAAAATATACTTAAGTATCTGACTTAAGTACTAATCCAAACATTGGTACTTGTACTTGGAGTTTCAAGTTTTTCAAATTTTACTTGTACTTAAAATATCAGTCAAGTATATTTTACTTGAAAGCTTTTGAAAATTTGTACTTGAGTGATATTAAATTACTTAAGTACCAATGGAATTACTTGAAGTAAATATTTTTATTTCAAGTATTTTTAAAATTTATTTGACGACTAAATAAAGTTTTGTGTATTCATCGCGTGACGTCATAAACACACGCTAAAATTGCGAAACACGTTTAAACTGATGCAGCAATAGGTGTGAGAACGCAAAAACCTCTGTTTCAACCGACATGAGAAACGTTCTAGAATGGCAATCAATTCATTTGTCAATTAGGATAAACTTCGAGATAAACGATAAACGTTCAACTTATTAAAAAATAGGTGGGCAACTGGACATTACTGGTTCTGGAACGGTTCTCATGTCGGTTGGAACAGAGCTAATATATCCACCAAGAATCAGGAAACGCGCGCCAGCGCCGACTGTCGGACTCAGTTTGTGCATAAGACGTCACAGTGAAACAGTGGGAACTTTATACCTTGCCCAGGGACTCCGTGTCATGTAGAATTATATATATCGACAATATTGTATAGGCTCGGCACACTGTGCGGCATGCGATATGTTCCGATATGTCGAATTCTACATGGTACGGAGTCCCACCACAGGTATCTTCGCAATGGTTGGTCGTAGCCTAGTGCGGTTTGAAAATTTGTTCTTGGATTTTTTTTTTCTAGAACCTTTATTTTTGGGTCACACCCCCTTTAAGATTATCGATAGCAATAATTTGATTTGTTAGTTTAATTTGAACAATACTTGAAATAAAAAATACTTAAATTATTTTGTGAAGTATTTCTACGTAAATGTCATT